CTTGACAAATAGAGTTCTCTATCTGCGAATCATATTTTGCCACGTTAACTTTGCTGTGATTGGTTGTTGACTCAGCCTTGTTCATATTTTCTCACGGCCCATATTAGTGACCTAGACCTTAACGTAGATTAGTGCCAACCAATCGGCTAGCAGCCTGCTCTCACCACACTATTACTGAATAGTCCTTCCCCATCATCTATGTGGTACCAAACAAATCACTAAAACGTGTAGGTACCAGGCAGCAGAGGGTAATTTGCCTGAAACAACCGCTTCTGTATGTGTAGAAGGAACAGTTCCAACCACTATGACTGCCTTGGTCTGCTGTGGAGTCTGCAAATTCATAAATACCTGAATACATCGACCTTTTCTTATTTGCCCCTCAATCCTGTACATATAAATTCCCCTAACCCTTGTCATTACAAGTGAATTAACTAATCTCTTGTTATCTTAGAGTGTGTTAGATAACTACTACGTGCCAGTGTAGCACACGTGTGATGAGAGCAGCCTGCTGGCCAATTGGTTGACATTAATCTACGTCAGTGTCTAGGTCACTAATATGGGCCGTGAGCAAATGTGAACAAGGCTGTTTCAACAACCAATCACAGCAAACTTAAACGTGGGCAAATATGATTCGCAGATAGATGGCTCCACTTTCCGAGAAACTCAAAAACAACCAATCAGAAGACTGCGTTTGTCTACTTGACTAGGCTATAATAATGTATGTGAAATTTATATAAATACGTGTTGATTTTTGTAATAAAACGATCTGTTGCCTGGCCCTTGTCTTCTGTTGTTACACACATACAATGCAGATGATATTCCACCACAATATTTTTTTCTCTTCCCCTGTCTTTGACGTGATCTTTTATGCATCTGAAATTTATAATCAATATGAATAGAATTTGATGTGAATATGACTCATGAGAATTCATTTCTGTACATTCGTTGTCATTCATAATCATTTACTGTGTAATATTGGTGTTTAATTTAGTATTACAATGTTACATATTACCACATACACAGAATATATTTTGGACTATAATCCATTATAGCAATCTAATCGCAAATAACTTTTGGAATACTGACCTAAATGATTCAGTGTTACTCTTTAAAAATCACCAATGCTGTCAATATCAATCATGCTTTCATTATTATGGATAAACAACTGTAGAACCTGATAAACAAGAGGTTATTGGAAAGAATATTCTTGGCTCACAAATCAGTCTTTTGAAATCTGATAGATTTGAAAATAATTGACCGGTAAAAGAAACCTAGCTCGCTACGGTTTCCTCAGTCAATCGTCGTCGAACGAATAAAACCAAGTCTACGTATGCAGAAAGAGACAGTGTTGAATCTTGCATTACCTTGGTTAATAAACTTACATAACAGAGTTTGCAATTGTATCGTGTCATGTCTTCTTTCATATCTTATATCTTGTCTAGAAACTTTTATTGTTTTATTAGTTGGGGGATTTTATCATAAACTGGCATTCGTTAGAGAACCACTGGAAAATCACTAGGGAGTACTGGACATATGTTTCGTCCTAGTTTGGGACTCTTCAGCAGTATACACTCACCGGGGTTCGAACCCAGGACCTTCTGGTTACAAGGCGGGCCCGTATACCAATAAGCCACTGGGACCCGATCCAATGGCCCATGAATTCTAACCTCTGCCAATTCATGATATAGCACAACCGCTAGCCAATGTCTTCAGCGAGTATTCGTCCTCACGTCCGAACTGCTGCACCCTACTGGTCATGACTTTTCAGTTCCTATGAATTACCCCTTGTCATCGTAGGAAAAGTATGTTCAAATGTATAATGTAATTAACACTATTATTTGGGGTTTTACCACCATCTGACATCCATTAGGAAACCACTGGAAAACCAGTGAGTACTGGGAAACACTTTCGTCCCCTCTTTGAACCCTTCAGAGTTGCTCACCCACAAGGATTCAAAACTAGAATTTTACGGTTACAAGGAAAGCTCGTACATCATTCAGACACTGGGGTTCCGATTCAATGACCATTGAATTCTAACTCCTACCAATTTGTGATCTTGATGGGACTACCAGTCAATGTCGTCAGGGAGTATTTGCCGTCACTTATGGCATGGTGAACCCCAGTGGTCGTGCTGATGAGTTCTAAACCAGAACGAAATGATTGTACAGTAGTCCCTGGTCTTCCAGCGGTTTTCTGATTGATGTCAGCTAGTGACCAAACTTAAAATAAATCAAATCCTTACAAACGAATTCTTAAATTTAAAACAATCAGTTCGCTTTATGAATTTAGATAGAGCAATAAGAAGACGTAATTTCTCTGAATTGTGTACTGTTCTTTTTGCGCAACACATTTCGAACAATCTGATCACACACACGGACTTGTCATAGGAATATATATGAAATTAATAAAGAGTTAAGAGGTGAGAAGATAAACTACTTAGGTCAAGTTAAAAAGACATACTGAAGGCCAAAATAACAGTGAAGATCAGTAAACCAGCGACTATTGGGGAGACTGATGAACCCAATAGTCGCTGACGTTTTCATGAATAGATTCAAAAATAACATCTTTTCAAGCATACTCACTCCTAAGATAGAGTTAAAGTATGTAGATGATATTTCTGTAATACTAAAACGAGAATTACACAATTCATTCCTGGAGGAAATAAACTGTGTATCTCCCAGAATCCACTTTACTTTGAAAGCAGAATCAGACGTCGATGAACTACCGTTTCTAGACTGCTTAGCTAAGAGAAGAGAAAACGGACATTTTAGAATATCCATATTCAGAAAGAAAACCCACCCACCCCCTATTTAGACTTCACATCATCACACTTCATCAGTGCAAAGATTTCAGTTGTTTCAAGTCTTCTTAGACGAGTACAGTCTCTGATAACAGATGAGAAAGAAAAAGAAGAAGGAAAATCAAACATTACTGAAACTCTCAAACAAAACAACTACCCAAGGAACTTCATCAACAAAATCAACACTGATATTATGTATGGCCGAAAGCGCATTCCAAATACAAGGACCTCAAACAGTCGTCATTCCATATAGAGCAGAGACGTCAGATTATATCAGAAGAGTACTCAATCAGCTCGACATAAGAGCTTTCTTCAAAACATCAGACACACTTCAAAGCAACTTTGTCCGTATAAAAGACCAAATCCCGAAAGATTCTCTATCTAATTGTGTCTATAAAATAAAATGCTTGGGATATGATGCAATCTACATCGGACAAACAATTCGAGAAATCAAGGTAATCAGAAGAAATGAACACCATAGAGCATCTCTGCGACCACCGAGAAATCCGGTTGAACTAGAAAATCTTGAAAAATCATCAGCCATAACTTGTCTACACGCTATAGAATCAGGCCACAAGATTGATTTTGACAGAATTGAAATAATCCAGAAAAACTCCAAGAATAACGAAGAACGTCTAATATTAGAAGCACTCCTTATCAACTGGAATCCAAATTGCCTGAATAGAAATGATGGACTGAGACAGAAACTAACCTGGTTACAACACCTCCCTCCCCAATGAAGTGACTAAATCAACACGAATGTGACATGCAAGTTCACTGTGTAGGCATACAATGTTTTCATAATTTCACACATTGATCAAATCCAAAAATGCACATTTGGTTTTGTTATCTTTACCATTTGATCAACTTGACAACGAAAAAGGCCCCTAGACTGACGAACGATGATCCAGTTAGTAAACTTTGTTTTGTTATCATAAGAGACATACTATTACCTTTGTTATTTGGTTTAGTGATCTTCATTGTTATTTTGACTTTTAATATGTCCCTTTAACTTGACCTAACCTGTCTATTTTCTCACACCTGAACTCTTTGTTATATGTATGCTGAGATTTTGTAATAATACTTTGATAAAGCTATTAGTTGCATTAAATAGCGAAATGTCAGTAAAAACAATATCGTTTTGTTTTTCATTCATTGGGAAATACATAAAGGTGGTTTAAACTTTCTAATTGCCAGTCAGGGCTCCCACAAACTTTAGGACACTCCCTGAGAAAAAAAGTTTTATAAATAGTTTTAAAAGATCTGTTAACATCAACTTCTTGTCCTGTCTCTATATGTTTCGCAATAGAGGAGCTAGGTTTCCTGTTCTCACCATTAATAGGTTCTAAAGATTCCATTTGTTTCTGGAGACATTTGAGAATATGCTCTGAAGCCAGCCCTTACCTGCAGAGATGAATTAGTCCTGCCTATGGATGTGTATCCACACGTACATTTAAACTGGTAAATACAGTGGGATGTGACATCATTTTTCTCATGTTCAAAGGGCTTAGATGGATGGAAATATTTGCCTCACATTCTTAATTATTATGATGCTAGCTGCATGAAAAGTCTTTGTAAAGTTTGTGGAGTCCCTGGCTGGCAATTAGAAAGTTTAAACCACTTTTATGCGTTCAAAAACAATTCGTCATCACATTAAACCTTCCCTGGTAGAAATTTTGTTTTGATACCAGTCAGGGCAGATGTACTATTACCTCTGCTATTTGGTTTAGTGGTCTTCAACGTTATTTTGACCATGAATATGTCCTTTTAACTTGACCTAAGTAGTCTCTTTTCTCACCTTTTAACGCTTTATTATTTTAATGTATATACAGTCGTATGACAAGTCTGTGTGTGATCAGATTGCTTGAAATGTGTTGCGCTAATACAACAGTACACGATTCAAACAAATTACGTCTTCTTATTACTTTATCTTAATTCTTAAATATTATATCTTTTAATATTACTCATTTGGCAACCAGATGAGGAAAATCCTCAGAATAATAAGATATGAGCTCACATTAATAGTCTGGTACACATTCCTTGTTCTTACATTAATCAAGTGTAATATCTGATGTTTTCCATACATCTTTGATTTCTGATTGGCTGTTAGCACTCATCCAATCAAATAATTCACAGCTATGCATTATTTCCTATTGTGAACATAATTTTGATATTTTGGTTTAGCGTAACCCTTTCCTCCTCATTTCTTAAAACCTGTTTCCTATTTTGTTCAGAATGCGAAATTCCACATAAAGTTGGAAAATAAAACACCACACCGAACCAGAGAGATGCGACCTACCAGTTAGGATCAAAGTACCAACATAAAACGTAATCAGGGAGTATTATCCAACATTTTCTCAAGAATTCTTTATTCACATTAAACTAAAAAAAAATAGGCATTATGTGGATCTATTTCACAAGTAATCTACTGTTTATACAACTCATATTAATTGGTGCCGAGATAAATCGAGAGGCAATCAATGGAGATAAAGACATCAGCATATTTGATACAAATCATGAAAGACAACAACACCAATTAATCAATACAGAACACAGTGAACATCGATCCGATTCACCCGATGATATACCCACCTCTCCAATGACAGATGAACAAAGATTACTATCAAAAATACTGCATGGATATGATACAGCCTCTCGACCAATATTTAATGCATCAAAAAGTGTACAAGTTGGTTTTCAGTTCACCTTGATACAAATCAGTCAATTGGTAAGTAGTATGTACATATATTTGTATGTTTTTCTGTGCGTTTTGAGGGAAAAAGTTTGATCTTTGAAGTTTTAGCAGCTTTGGTGTTGTTTTATACTCGGAGGTTGTTAGTCCTACTTTCAACTTTCCTTGTTCCCTGGTCATTGAACCAGGCTATGTGTTAGGATTGCGTCAGCCAGGAATCGGACTTGAACCGTCTGCTTGCCTTTCAGTCATTCGACTACTGAATCACAGACACACTATTTATTATGCCATCGTTAGCTGTGTGTCATTTGTTCTAAATGAACAAAAAATATCATTTTGAGCCACAAATGAAAACAAGATAAAAACAGCGAAGAAAAACCGCTCTTTCTAAGAATCATTTTCAAGAGGTGTGCAGTCGTAGCCGTATTTAATAAAGCGCTCATAAAGTCCATGCGACACTGGTAATTCTGTTCCAGAGAATGTTAAAAGTCAAGTGAAAAAATTAACAGTAACATAATAATCAAAGATAGAATAAACATGATCCATTTACTGAGTGCTTCTCAGTAAATTAGAGATGTTATGCCCTACACATTCCTCACCACATAGATTGGCAAGCCAAATAAAGTATCTTAGAGTTTTTATACTCACTTTTGTGATTGTTTCTATTCTCACCTGATGAGATGCAAGGAGACAGTTATGTATGAAGAGGGTACAGGGTGATACTCATGACAACCCTCTCACCCTACTGATAGCTTTTAATGCACTTCGCAATGTAACAAAGTCATTCCTTGGCAGGTCAGGAAGGATTAAGATAGGGGAGCAATAGAGAAAGATAGGTAAAATACAAGAATTAACAAACCTTAAAAATAGACACTGATTAATGCTAGGCCATCTTCACTTCTTTAGGCGGAACGTTAAACAAAATACCTTACCTTTTCAGAAATATCAGAGGAAATACACAATTCAAGTTACTTAACACTCTATTTAGTTTTAACTTCTGCGCCATCTATGATACGAGAATCATGAGGATGGGCGTAACCTAGATGGACATGTTTAGGCAGAGATTGTAAAACAGGAATTGAAATTGCGCAATACGTATGAGAAATAGCCCAGTCAGTTTAAACAAGTAAGATGGACAGAAGCTAGTGCGAATACTGTGAAGTATTTTATATAAAATCGATGTGAGAAATACAATGTTGATGATAAACAGTGATAATGACTTTCACTAGTATAAAATTTAATAACAGACTAAATAATCATTTGATAAAATGAAATAAAATTATAACAAGAATGTTACTGTTGTCATAGTAAGGATTTTGCGTGCAAAGGACCGGTTTCAGGCCCCGTTATTTCGGGTAATCTAACTTTGTGCGGTACTAGGGGAACTGTAGGCGTCAATGTGAAGCAGTCATGTGCTGCTGCCTGATGTTCATAGCTGACAAGATGCCCGAAGACAGAACTAACTAGTGGTATTCCTTTTGTTTTTGTACTGGTTAATCAAGCTGGACAGCGTTTCAGAATATATCTGCAGACTTGACACCGTGTATGGCTGACTACTACGTTAAATAAACTGTATTCTGATTGGTAAACCATATGAAATTTCATATTGTTCCACACTCCTTTGCGTTACGAGTGGAAAATAGGTTTACAAGTTTGAATTTTGAGTAACCGTGGTATTTTCTTACGTGAAAGGTTTGCTAGCCCCACAATAAACCTTCTCTCCTCTCTGACCTTACCGCCAACTAGTAAACTAGGAGTGGTTGACGAGGGTGTCTGTAGGGAATGGAACTCATGAGCATGTGGGCGGTTAGCGGACACACTATCACTAGGCCACTGAGGCGCAAATTTTTTTAAAATTTAGTCGATTTTAACTTTGATTTAAACAAAATAAAATTATATATTTTCTCATCAAAACCCCTGAAGTATTTGAGTAGAATGAATACTCATTATCTAACATAATAAACACAAATAAGGCATATCCTGGAACTTGTGGATAGAGTGCCCATAAAGTACAATTGGCGAAAACGCTTCTCAGCTAAAGCATATCTCAGTGATAGGTAAAGTCTTCCACACCACAGTAGATCACAAAAAATGAGCACACCTCAGTTGATATAAGCATAAAACTTGGGCACTGTGGTAGAGTATAATTCCATTATGGATAAAATTTTTATTTTGATAAAGTCACAAAGTGGTGTTGTACAGTAATATCTAATGATGACGACGGTCTGAGCAGAATTTATTACTGCTTATTATCATGTTAAGGTACTCACACAACTTTCTTTCTTCATTTTTATACATGAGTAAAAACTAGCCTGGACATGTGAACAGAAATCAACTAAAGTTCAATAGACAAGTGTGAAACAGAAAGGAAGACAAAGTATATTCGGAAATAATATGTGTTATCAATAAAATACAATATAATGGGTAATAAGATGTTTTTATAGTTAAAAAAGTAACTTGTTAGAATGTTATAATGTAAGTGAATTGAATACATTTTAACAGTATTTATTATCCTCTGATATGACTGGTAATAATATATTCAATATCTCTGGTGTTCGCTTTGAGTCACTTCTATTGCATGTGTTGGGTGTAGACTCGATAAACCAGGATTCAGTAATCAGTCTATATCTCCACCAACAAATATTAGTCTTTAGGATTTTAACTCTGTCCCACCCACCCTATTTTGTAGTTGTGTATGCAAGCATGCAGTGCGATTGCTGAGTTTCTTTAGAAATTACTTATCTTCATGGGATCAATCATTCTATCCTTAGTTAATTTCTTGCGTCCTGATAATCTCACTACTCCTGATCTACTAGTTTCACTGGCCTATGTAGTTGACCTGAGTCACAGTTATTTCAAGATATTTTGTAAATTATATTATTTTGTCTAATTGGGTTAACAGGGTTCATTAACCCACAAAGCTTCTCCCTCAGTGAGTGAGTTTGTAGGTTTGAAAGCCATCCTAATTCCTGCTTTATTGATAATTCTACGTAGGGACAGTCTCAGATGTCTCCTCCGTATATGGTAAGATTGTAGATGCCTTAAGTTCTTTGTTATATTGTTTCCGATTGTACTTTATCTTCTAAAGTGGGTTGACTAACAGCACTCGTCTTAATTCCTACCGTATTATATGTATTGATAACACTAATCTTATTTCCGAATGTACTTAATCTCCCTTTCTGTTTTACACATGTCTTATGTTGATTTTTATTCAAATGTCTAATCATCAGTTTTTACTCATGTATATAAAGGAAGAAAGAAAGTTTTGTGAGTGAGTATCTTGATATGATAATGAGTAGTAATGAATTGTGCTCAGAACATCGTCATCAGTAGATATTACTGTATAACAACAATGTGTGATTTCATCAAAAAACATTTTATCGATAATGAAACATATCTCAATGATTTTAAGTCATGCTGTCAATATTTTCCTACCATTGATTCTTCACCTCTTATAGACTCTGGCTTTGAAAACTTCCATTAATTTGGAAGATGTAAGTAAGAATGAACTATTTCCCGTTAATCATCACTAGGCATTAGAATTAGATTTCATAAGATTTTAAATAATATTCATTTGATATCCTCACCAAAAATACTTTTTGTTAGCATTTGCATTTCTACAGCTTAAATTTAAATCTCTGATGAACAGAACACACCAAGTAGTTCAGGAGTGGTGATGTTCCTTTTCGGTGAATTCATTCTCCCCTCTATCTGTACGACCATATCAGATACATTTTTCCCACAAAAGGGGATAGTAAGTAGAGAGACGAACCTTCATGAACACAGTTAATTATATCAATAAATTTTCAAGTATTGGTTTTGTAGGGATTTTGTTTGATTGCATGGAGGATTTACTCATGAGCTGACATCAGTTGGAGAACCACTGGAAAAACTAGGAGTACTAGGACGAAACAGCTGTCCAGTACTCCTAGGTTTTCCAGTGGTTCTCTAACTAATGTCAGCTCATGAGTAAGTCCTCCATATATCAATAAATGCGTAAGACGAACTGGATAAGAGCGTCAGAGTCACGAAATAAGTTAAATGACTCAGTGAATGATTTTTATTCATGACACACATAAGAATGAAAGAAAATCTGATGTTGCATAAGAATTCAAACGGAATACAAGAATTTTAAAGAGTTAAAGAAAACAAATCAGCAAAAATCAAGGTGATATTCAAGTGTTGGTTTGCAGGAATATGATTTGATTAGTTAGAAAATTTCTTCATGAACTGGCATCGGTTAAACAACCATTGCAAATCCACAGACTACTGGACAGCTTTTTCGTTCTAGTGTCTTGAGTCTTTTCATATGTATGCACCCACCAGAATTAGAACCCATGACCTTTTGGTTAAAAGGCGATGTCACAGACCATTAGGCCACCGGGAACCCACCCAGTGTTTGAATAATTCTCCTTGGCATGTAGAGCTCAAGTTCCCCTATCTGAATTGGTAAATGTTTTGCAGTACAGAGGAGACTAAAGCGTCTCTTCCTTGACAGGTTGTTATTCACTTTGCAGATTACATTGAAAGAGGGTTTATTGAGGTAGAATAGCCGCTACTGACAAGGTATTCAGTTATTGCAGTCCTTGTAGAGTCGCCGCCGTTCCTTTTTTTGCAACCATGCGGGAGAATGTATCTGAACCCTTTTAAAGAAGATACACGTCAAAAGACCAAAAGACCTGGCTTCATAGGAATAGGTCAACTTTTATATGCACACAGGAGTGATCAGATGCAAAGTATTGTCTTTCTTGCCCCACCAGACCAGTGGACAACTGGGGGACACTACACACCTCAGACATGATGAAATTCTTCTCATACATAAGGATATTGCAGGCTAAGTCTTCCTGGAAACGGAGGTTCATGTAGGGTTTCTTTATTGGTAAAAATGACGTTTGATTTCTCGGAACGTGACTTTCTTATCAGTAAATCTCGGTGGTTATCCATCTTGGATGAAGGTTACTTTTATGAAACACCCATGTATAAATGTGATTTGATGGCTGAAGAGCAGAGTGCATTCGTCACGAAAAGAGCCTCTT